TTTTTTACGATATTTACTACTCCATGATCTATCATTAAAATATGATCGATCGATCAAAACACAAAGATGTTTGCTTAATTTATGACTAATTAAAGAAGATATATAACTTAAATGGTTTATTTACTACCGTTATGGAAATATTTACGACTTTAATGAATTTTTTTTATGTGAATAATTACAACCTCAATAGTATGTGTTGAGGAGATTTGATCGATTATGAACTAGTAATAAATTCATTAAAATTGTAAAGATTTTCACAAATTTGGTAAACATACCATTGAAGTTGTAAATATTTCACACAAATTTAATAAATATATCACTGAAGTTGTAAATATTCCCACTCAGTGATATGTGTTGGGGAGATTTGATTGATTAAAATCATATTTGATCAATTATGGATTAATAACGAATCCATTGAAGGTGTAAAGATTTTCACAAATTTGGTAAACCATACCATTGAAGTTGTAAATTTTTCTACAAATTTGGTTAATATACTACTGAAGTTATAAATATTCCCATAAATGTTGTAAAATTTCACTAATGTTATAATTTTGTTCATTATAGTCTTAAATTTTCTACTAATGTTATAATTTTACCCTCAATTGACTTAATAGTGTTAGGCGGTATGTTTTATTTTGTCATTTCAATGTCTTGTCTACCAACTAATATAAATATACCATAAATTTAATAAACATACCACTAATATTGTAATTTGAAATTTTCGGTACGGTACCAAAAATCCATTGGAATGTACCGTAGCCTTCTCCCTCTTTCATGGTCTCTGATGATGATTCCTTCCGGTAGATACCCTTTGCTGAGCTCTGTGATAATATTATTGGCATTCTTATTGCTAAAGTTCCTATTATGCCCTCAACTTGGGCTTGATTTTTGGGAAATAAAATTGAGATAAAAATTTGGTATAATTTTTGGGCTAAATTCGGGTTTGAATCATAAGTTATACAACTCGGACATGAATTCTAGTTGAACTCGATTTCAATAATTTACGTTGAGTCTTTAAAACTCGACAACCCAATCGTGAATCAGTCGTTTTACTTTGTCAATAATAAAATTTTAAATATGATTCAATCTAATTTAAATTCAATTAATACACATGAATTTGAATTCAATTTGTTGTAACATATTTTATTTATCTAATAAAATTGAATTATAATTTAAGTGTAAATCGTTATGATCCAACTTCAATTAAATTATTCAAATTAAAATGCACTTGAATTTTTTAAATTGAATTCGAATTCGGCTTAACACAAGTCTTTCTATTGGTAAGCATGGTCCCCAGTGCAGAGCTTCTCTGATCTTGAAAGCGACTGTGTCAACATGAAGATACAAATTCGTTAAAAATACGCCGCGACACATGGAATTCTTACACAGCATCCATCCGCACTGGCGAAATGGGGAAGCTTCCGACTACACGATGACCTGGAGTTGGACTGTTGGAGACTTCTCTCTCCCTCTCTGTCTCCATTTGGAGGGAGTTTCAGATCTCCCTCCCTCCAACACAAAGCTCTCTCTCTCTCTCTGGATTCAACCTCAATTGAAGTGACGACATTCGTGTGAATCTTGTTGGTCCTCTTGTTTCTGGAAGAAACAAGCCTCTTCATTCCTGTTGATTTGGCGGGAAATCGCGCTTGTCCTTGTATCAGGTCTTCTCTCTCCATAAACTTAGAGAGAGAGAGAGAGAGAGAGAGAGAGAGAGCACACGAAAGTTCAGATAAATTCTTAATCGATTGATATGAATATGCAGTTCGATACTGGTTTGTGTACATAGACTGAGATTTAGTACAGGAAAGAGATGGCGGTTTCGGACAACACCAGAGGGTTAATTCTAGCGATCTTGTCGAGCTTGTTCATTGGTGCAAGCTTCATCTTGAAGAACAAAGGCCTCAAGCGTGCTGCTTCTGCTGGTACTCGCGCAGGTTCGAATTGAATATTCAATCCTCTCACTTAGATCTCTACAACTTAGACTGATTGGTCTGTTGTGATTGCCTTTCTAACCTAATCCACATTATCATTTTCTTAAGGAAATTGAATCTGGCTCTCACATTAGTGCCATGCTTTTGATAAGTTGAGGGTATTAAAAGAGGTAAATCCTAATTTTTTTTTCCAACTTTTTAAATTAAAGATCATTATTGAGAGACCTCATGGGAAATGGTGGTTTCTAGTTATGATTCTCCTCAATACATTAGGTATGATTGTTTTTAGTACTCTCAATCCCTAGTATTTCTCACCTCTTTCAGGTTGGGACACCAGTTTAACTAAATTGAGCCTATTTTTGAAAAAAAAATGTTACATAGAGTTAAGCTCTTATATACTGAAGTAAAATATGTGGAGAGAGCAGCAGTGCCACTATACTTGATACTAGTACATATGCATTTGGTTTGGTCAGATATTTGTATAAATGTCACAATGAGTGCTTGTTATTCGTAAGCTGTGGGTATTAAGTAGCCAAATCATATTGTATTTTGATTATGTAACCATGCAAATAAAGCACAATTGGTGGAAAATCTTGTGCCTAATCTTGGCATGACTGAACTATATGAGGGTTACACCCACGCAGCAACTAATTTTTCCTGTTGGAGATCAAGTCCATTGCATAGCTCCATATAATCCTTTGCATAGTCTACTGAAAATCTTTTGAAGTACAAACAATAAACACTGATCTAATCTGCTGCTCCAGGGAAACTATGTTGCCTCCTTGTGGCTTCATTGACTAGCCTTGTGACATTCCCAGTAAAACTTGGATTTATATTATTTTAGCTTGAGGTGTGACACTGAGATGACAAGCAAACTCTATCTACCCAAACCATAACATTTTTCCTGCTGCCTTATTTAGTTTACACCACATAAACTGCCATAAATTATTTGATATATATTGAATGATGTACTATAAAGCCTGAAAAACAATGAATTTATTCCATATCCCACATGATAAGATATTCAATGAAGGTGGTTTTATCTATCGACAACCTCAACATCCCCCTTTATGACCTCACCCTCTATAATGACCATGGTTAATATCATGGTATCGGCCATTAACTCGAAAAGCTCTGAGACACATCAGTCACCGCATCGCGGCATCAAGTGATACGATTTAGAAGAAAATGTTAAACATGATGAGAAATTCAAGACACATCGCGGTGTTGTGGAACCATATCGATCAATTCGGTGACAATATTTTGGCGACTTGGATATAACTTGGACAACTCGGCCGAGTTGTACGAGACTGGGGGTTTATACGTCTTGTGTAACGGTATCGTCTCCGAAGGTGTCGAGATGGATACGACTCGGCCGACTTGTATCGGTATCGGCCGATTCTTTAAACCATGATAATAACTTATTGAATCAAATAGTAAACAGTTGAACTGATGCCGGTATCTTGATCAACACCCTTTTTTCTTTCCCGAAATTGCATGAAGAATTGTACTGTTATGGTGGTTGGGCTGATATAAGATGACACTATAATGGCCACAAATCACATATTTGCCAGGTATATTTTGTAGAGATTTCTAATATCACAACCAGACTGCATTGTCAAATACTGTAGGTTTTCAAGGTCCATGCAGGTGGAGTACAGGTACATTGTATGGATCAAGGATTGATGAGGTTCTGTATGACTAAAAATACCCATCTATGTTTCATGTTTGTGCAATTTAAAGGGCATTTTGTCATCCCCATGAGTCAGTTGAGTTTGTTTTTACTGAGCTAGAGCTTAAACTTCTTTGGACAACTGGGTAGCACTTTTTTCCCATGTGCGTTATGAAGACTCCTTGTCTGTCCTTATACAGTCCTCGTCTTCTGTTTAAGCTGTCTCACTTTGTTATTGAAGTGGCACTTTTCAAGTTTCATTTGATCGGGCCTTGGGTTTGTAATTGTTAATCATTTTTGTGCAACATGTTGTGATCCTTTTTTCCAGATTACGATATTAAATTATGCACTAGTATGGTTCAGATTTCTTTTTCCCTTCAAAATTTGTCAACCTGTTTACTCAAGAATTCTCTGTACTGAATCTGTTTCTTTTTTTTTTTTTTTCTGTTTACGTGACCACAATTTTATCTTTGGATACTGTAGGAGTTGGAGGCTACACTTACCTGCTAGAACCACTTTGGTGGGCGGGCATGATGACAAGTGAGTAGAGTTATACTCTTACGGTCTTACCCTACCTATAAAACTACAGCAATATATAAGACCCGAAAATAATGAAAAAAGAAGAGAACAAGACAAAAAAAGTTTTAGTAGTTAAATGGATTATTGATTGTGTTAGAACTGTCTGAATTGCAGTGATTGTTGGAGAAGTTGCTAATTTCGTGGCTTATGTTTATGCTCCAGCAGTTCTTGTGACCCCTCTTGGTGCATTGAGTATAATTGTTAGGTAAATTTGAGAGTTTATTATGGTTAAAGCACTGGCCAAAAACTCTGAATGTTTTCTGTAAAACTAACAGGCTTGATGTATCTGAATAGTGCTTTTTTGGCACACTTCATGTTGAAGGAACGTTTGCGGCATATGGGTGTTCTGGGATGTGTTTCATGCATTGTGGGGTCAGTGGTGATTGTAATACATGCACCCCAGGAGCATATTCCAAATTCTATACAAGGAATCTGGACTTTGGCAACTCAACCAGGTTATTTGGTTCAAATTCTTTTTTCATATTTTGTTTGATTTAATTTGAAAACTTCTATTACTCATCATTTTCTTATCTACTTTTGTAAGCAGCATTTTTAATTTATGTAGCAGCTGCATTATCAATCGTGCTAGCTTTGATTTTGCGTTTTGAACCTCGCTATGGGCAGACAAACATATTAGTCTACTTGGGAATATGTTCATTAATGGGTTCACTTACGGTAAATCCTTTTCCTCAAATCTAGAAAGTACTAAAGGCATTTTGTTGCTGAAGTCTTATATTATTATGGTTACTTCTATTACTCAAACATTTATATCTTCTAGGAGCTTATCCTGTGTAAGTTTCTCATGCTATCTTGCAGGTTGTAAGCATTAAGGCAATTGGAATTGCAATAAAGCTTACACTGGAGGGAATAAGTCAAATTGAATATCCTCAGACTTGGTTTTTTCTCACAGTTGCAGCTGTCTGTGTTGTCACACAATTGAATTATCTCAACAAGGTAACTGTGTTAGATCAGTACTTGTACATTTTGTTGGTCGGCTTGTTTTTTTGGTTTTGTTTCATCATCTTGGAGTAAGAAATTCATCCTCTGCATTGTGTACATACTGTACTGTTCTTTTTGAAAAATCTTTTCAGGTTTCACAAGTTTAAACTGATACTTAGACGAGATATATGTAGAGTATGATAATATCCATGATCCATCCAAAACATGGTACTCTGGATTTTAAGTTTTTGGTTTTCCTTTTCTTTTTCCTCTCTTTTCATTCCATGCCCCAGCTGCTAGTGTCCCAGATTAGTGATCTCAGGGTTGACTAGAGCAAGTTAGTTAGAAATATCCTACGGAAATTGCTTTGTTTGCGTTGGGACACCCCTTGACAAAAGAACCTATGGAAACACCTTGGGTCACAACATTGGACCTTAAATAATTTGAGGTGAATGCCTCAAGGGGTAAGCACTCTTAGGGGTGTCACATGCATTGATCGAATTAGACTGTGTACACATAATATACCTATCTATTATAAGATGCTTATACTTGATTAAAGGCTTGCCATACTTGTGTGTACAGATTTAGGGACATTGATATACAAAACAGGTTTATCTGGACTCCTTTGCAAAACTGTGGTAGTCTAAAACTCAGCATCAATGAGTTTTTTCGTTTTCATGTTCACTGATGCCAATAGTGCCTTTGTTCTAGGCTTTGGATACATTCAATGCGGCTATCGTTTCTCCAATATATTACGTGATGTTCACTACTCTTACCATTGTTGCTAGCGCAATAATGTTCAAGGTAGATTGCCTGGTTCATCCACTTATGCTGCATCTGGTTCCACACAATTACGAGGGAATTTAACTGTATTATCTATGTTGACATCTATTTTTTGTAGGATTGGTCAGGTCAGGATGCAAGCAGCATAGCTTCTGAGACATGTGGATTCATCACTGTACTTTCAGGGACAATTATACTTCATGCAACGAGAGAACAGGAACCAGTTAATGCATTAGGTACAAAGAGAATTTAACTTTTCTGTGGTCATCCATCACGGTAATGTGCCAATGTCCTAAATGCATTCCTACCATAAGAATCATGGAAGGAAGAAGTATGAGAATATATTGCGTATTCCACGTTAACCCAAAAGTTGATTGGACCAAATATTTATAGGATGCAGCACAATGCAAAGGCAATTCATTGTCTTATAGGAAAGTTGTCCAGGGGTACAATGCTTTAACATAAATGTGTCTGCCACCATACTCTGACCTGGGGGTGTTCATGGGCCGGGTTACCCACGGGTCCCGTTATCTGGCCCGAAAAAAATAGGCCCGATAGTTGGCCCGCCCGAGCCCAATATCCTTTAAGAAAGGGTTTGGTTTTACCCCTAAACTCATTACCCGGCCCGAAAATCGCAGCCCCGACCCAATAACCCACCCATATATCCGGCCCAATACCCGCCCACATACCCGAAGCCCCAAGCCTACATACTATATATATAATATACATATCTATATCTATGTTACTAATAAAAGTATATTATTTAGAAAAACTTTTGATTAACTACTTTAACCCTAAACACAATATATAAAGACAATACTAGCCTTATTTAATTTAGAACTCATTTTAATAAGACTAGATTGATGTTAAACTTTTAATTGGACAACTTGACTCTCACAATACTAACATTATTAATATGGAATTTATATTAATAAAATTTCATTAATATTACACATAGTCAAGCCTTTCATATTCTTTCTTTTAAAAGATAAAAATGAATTGTTAAAATAATTAAATTTACTATTATTTATTTCTATCTATTTTCATTAATTGGTTACAAGTTTCTGAATTTTGAAATGAAATTGCATAAATGCACTAGAGTTTTTTTTAATATAAGTCTTATTTCAATATAATTTGGATAATATTATCAAACCCTTACTTTTCATTTTCTTCTATTTTATGTTTTAGTTTTAATAAATCCTCTTTAGTTATGTTTATTGGTAATACTAGAAGTTATTTTATTTGTATCGATTATCAATGCTACAAATATGTTTAATATTACATTAAATTACTTATTACAACTTAATTTTTTAAATTTGTTCAACCAATTTTTATAATTAAATGACCACCATAACTTAAAATAGTTCGTTTCTAACAGGCCCAACAAAGTCCGCCCAACACTGGCCCGCAAAGTCCGCCCAGTCAGGCCCGCTCAAAAAGCCCGCCCAAAAAGTCCGCTCAATAGGTAACGGGCTGGGCTGCGGGTAGCTTACCCCTACCCAAGCCGAGCCCGGCCCGCCACTCGCATAAGTACGGGCTTGGGCCTATACTACCCAATCCCGGCCCAAAAAAAAAATTCATGAACCAAGCCCGGCCTGGCCTATGGACAGCCCTTGTCTACAGGCTTCATGAATTTATGTGTATCCTGAAATGATGATAAGAATCAATTGAACATAAGTACTGTTGCTGAATTTCTTAAATCATTTGATGGATGACTACTTGAAAATGCTTCTTATTGGGTGTGTATTGTCTAGATGCTCATTAATGTCCTATTTTTAAAATCTGTTGAAAGAAATGTATTGGCTGATCAATGCAGGAACTGTAACATGGTACGATGGAGAGTCGATAAAGAGTACCGAGGATGCACATTTTATCACTTTGCACAATTCAGATTACTTTGAATAGTGGAACTCTTTCTTTGAGACAATCAATAGAATAACTTGATTATGAAGCTATGAAGCTATCAGTGCACCCACCATTATACTAGTGGATTGGCAAAGCTTAGCTCTTCCTGTTGGATTGTCCAGTTCTTCATATTCACCCTTTTTCTTAGCTGTGGAATGAGGCCCGAGGTGGAATATGAATTGCTCAAATGTCCGTGAGTCGGAATGGAGGTTTGCATACTATCTCAAACCGTGCAGAGAGACAATGTGGTATCACTGCAGATCTCAGAATTGAAAGTGAGGTTGGTACATATGTTTGTGCATGCATTCAGTTACTCCAGGTGAGGGCGTGTCTATGTATTAAGCTTATGTCCTTATTTTCGTTTTGAGTTGGTACTATTAATCAACGGTCATTTTTGTAGGTTATCTATGACTTTGGTACAATTGATTGGAAAGTATTTCATTGATTTGATTTGTAATTGCAGAGTTGAAAGATCAGGAAGTATTCTCTTGTAAAATACCATATATAGGTCCAGTGTATTGAAATAAAAAAAAAATAGGTCCAGTGTATTGATTTTGTCACAAATCTTGAGGGGCATCTGAATGCTTTGGCATTAAGGAAATCAGTTCTGAGCCCAAAATGATTTGGTACAGAAATGTTCACTTCTACTTGCTTGAACTCCATATTTCTGCATGGTGAACTCAAAAAGCACCATAAACCATACCTAGATTGATTTAGTCATAACACATTAGAGACCACCATCACTATGCCTCAAGCCAATGAACAATCATTAACATAGGTAGAGATTTTTTTTCATTATGCTTTCCACTTAATGGTAGATCAAACTTCGTATCAGCATGTTTCTCCCCCATACATGATGGGTGAGATTGAGATAAACTGTAATGGATTTTATTTAAATTTCAGTGTAATATCTTAACCACCATACTAATCATAACAGAATCAGGGCCTCACTAATGGCACTGCAAATTCAGAGCTGATAATGACGGTTTTGGTCTCATGAACAGAGGAAGAAGAGAGTAACTGGAAATGGGTTGTTTCACAGTGGCCTTAGTAGTCACTGAGAATGGAGAAGAGTAATTGGTGGTGCACTGGTGAATTCTTGCAATGAGTGGAGATAACGGTTCGCTGGATGGTGAATTTGAGATAATCAAAAGGTTAGGAAAGGAGTCAGACGAACACTTGACTAATTCTCTTTGAAGTTTAAGTCAGTCGGTATCGGAGACATTAACACAATGTATTCTTTGGATTTAGTTTACATATTTATGTTCAACTCTTTGAAGGATATTTATACCTGAACTAGTAATGATTAAGGGGTCTGTGAGTTTCATCTTAGTATTTAATAGTTGGCACTCATATTTAAGCATAATGAGTGTAATCTAATCAAATCTCTTCAAAATTTATCTCATTGGGAGAGTGAATACGTGCTTGGAAAACTTCGAGCATTAATTGTCCATTTCCGATCATTTAAGCACCCTTATTCGGTGCTTGACATCTATGCCCGAGTAACTACTGATCAGGAAAAAGCATCTCGCGTCTTTGCCGAGGACAATGGATTAGCATAATGGTAATTAAAACCTTGTAATGATGAATATCTTTGTGGGTCTCGAAGATAAGGGGACCCATTAATGACCATATTACATTCACTCAAATTCTCATTAATGAACAATCATATCTTCTTTAGTATTGAGCTCGATAAGTGGTGCTTGGTGTTTTCATGTCATGATTCTTTGACGTCCTCGTCTAATGTCCTTTGTAATTCATAACGGTTACAACTATCCACGTGTCAACTTATTGTTGAGTCGCCTAAAATCCTGTGAAAAGGTTTAACATTGAGTTTATACAGGAATGAGGTAAATAGATTGTTGGGTGGTGTGCATAGTCGTAGTAATGGGTTTTGGTGGTCAATGGTGGGAGGGAGAGGTGGCGGTGATGGCCTAATGGGTTGAATTAGTAAATTAGGTGGGTCAAGAAGGACTCTTTTTGACACTTCTGATGCAAGATGAAGACATTATTAATGTAATCTACAATTGACTCTTTTGTCGTGGACTTTATCTTTAGGATTGATTGTTATCCAAAAAAAACAAAAACTCAGTAGAGAATTTAAACAAATTTTAAGCAAAGGTATAAGTAATTAAACTAGCAAAGTAGGTTAATTTGTTTTAAACTCGGCATTCTATTTGTTTTAATATTAGAATATTTGTAGATGAATTTAATCAAGGATAACTTTCACTATTATACAATTCTTTAGCAACATAGAATTCAAATCCTTCTCAACATATTTTCACTCTATTTGTTTTAATATTAAATTATTTGTCATGAATTTAATTAATATTTAGATTTCGATACAATTTTTTATCTAGGCACATGACACATCGGACGTTTTTATTTTTATAATATTATTTAATTATTTTAATGAGCATTAATTATAAATAATTTAATTTTTTATTTTCTAATCTTATATAAGTCGATTTTTTTTTTTTTTTGTTGAAGGATTAAGGATTCTTACAGGTTTCCAAATTCCAAAAAAATAAAAATTTCATCAGCAACCATCAGTCCTATTCCAAATCACCTTCGGATTCAACACCGTCTTTCTACTTTTAATCTCCACCCTCCGATCAAATCCACACACCTATCACAATCTCTTTCTTTATATACCCGATCCTTTCGCTGCTAAGGAACGCTAAACACATACCTACACACCTGCTTTCGCATTCTACAGAGAGAAACGGGAGAGAGAGAGATAACCAACAATGGCGGCTGCAGTGAGCGCATGGGCAAAACCAGGCGCATGGGCACTCGATTCCGAAGACCTCGAAGCTGAACTCCAACAACAAAAGCAAGAAGAGTCCTTCATCGGAAATCACCACTCTAACGGTGGTGACACGGCGGCGCTAGCCGACTTTCCCTCTCTCGCCACCGCTGCATCCACCAAAGCGAAGAAAAAGAAGCCACAAACTTTGTCTCTTCAAGAATTCTCCACTTATGCCTCGGTTAAGCAGGCTCAGTCGAGCCAAGCCGGTTCGAAGGGCCTCACCGCCGAAGATCTCATGGTGCTTCCCACCGGTCCTCGCCAGAGAACCGCCGAGGAGCTCGACCGGTCCAAACTTGGCGGTGGATTCAGATCCTACGGTACGAATGGTTACGGTTCGTATGATAGGTCGTCTTCTAGGGTTTCTTCGGATGAGCCGCGTAGACAGGGAGGGTTTAATTGGGATTCCAACAGAGAATTCGAACCTTCCCGTGCCGATGAAATTGATGATTGGGCAAAAGCGAAGAAATCGACTGTAGGTAATGGATTTGAGAGGAGAGAGAGAGGAGAGAGAGGAGGGTTTTTCTCTGATTCCCAGTCTCGGGCCGATGATTCGGAGAGTTGGGTTTCGAACAAGTCTTTTGTTCCATCGGAGGGACGAAGATTTTGTGCTACCGGTGGTGGTGGGGCTTCGGATAATTGGGGGAGGAAGAGAGAAGAGGAGGGACGAAGATTTGGTGCTGCTAGTAGTGCTTTTGATAGTATCAGAGAGAGAAGAGGGGGTCAAGAAACGGCATTGAATGCAAATTCGGACAATTGGGGAAAGAAGAGAGAGGAAGGAAGCGGTGGTACGCGGCCAAGGCTGAATTTGCAGCCGCGGAGTTTGCCGGTAGGTGATGGGCAACAAATTGGGACGGAAAGTGTAATGAAACCCAAGGGTTCGAACCCGTTTGGAGATGCGAGGCCGAGAGAGGAGGTTTTGAAGGAAAAGGGGAAAGATTGGAAGGAAACTGAAGAGAAGCTAGAGTCCATGAAGATAAAGGATGGGGGTTTAACTGATGGACAGTCGTTTGGGAAAAGGTCTTTCGGGAGTGGTAGTGGGAGGCTCAGCTCGCCGGAAGATAGGACTGAGAAGAGCTGGAGGAAGACTGATTCGGTTGATGTTCGTCCCCAAAGGTTGGTGAATAAGTTCTTTCTTATTTTCCTTGCTTCAATGTGTCACTGTTGGATTCATATAATGTAATGATTGAATGACTGATTATTACCTCGGGCTGAATAATTGCTTCTAGGGGGAGTGCAGTTCTTTCCTAGTGCTGTTGAATGTTCATGTGATGTTATACTGTTAGTTACTGAAACTAGAGCAGAAATTAATACTAAATCAGAAATTTAGAGACAAACTTCAAAATCAATAAACTTGGAACTGAGTATGTGGTTTTCCTAGTAAAAGTAAAAACCCAAAAGGGAAGATGGTAAAAATAGAAGACCAAAGGATTTCAAATACTGAAAAATTGTGAGGTGAAATTGGAATCGGCACTGGTGAATCATGTGATTAAGATATACATTTCAAATTGAATGGGAAGTTTTACAAAATGATCATATCGTTTGGTATTGAGTCTTCTGATAAAGAGGGTTTGACAACTAAGAAATATGTTCAAAAATTAAGTGTGATTGAAGTGCAGATGTTGAGATAGTTATGGTAAAATAAGAAATGATGAAACGAGGAGTGAATATATTCCTGAGTGGTAAGAGTAATAATCATGAGAGATAAATTGAAAGATGATCAACTAAGTTAGTTTTTGATAATTTGGCATCTTCATAAAAGACCTATTCAGTGAGAAAAAATTGATGTGAGGCAATGCTTAAATTTTTTGGCAAATAGTATGTTAAATTTTAAGTTTGCTGCTTGTATATTTGCTTTTATTTGGTTGAAGAGAGTCTTTGGAGTAGAAAAACAATCTTTGAACTGGATATTCACTTGTTATTAAGCTTTTTCTGGTTTTTTGATGTTTATAGTGTCTTTACTATTTTTGGTCAGTCCTGCTAACAAACTACTGGTTCATTATGTTTTCTTTTGTTATATTTTGGTTCACATAACAGTGGTATTCCTGGTTCTTAGTAAAGCTAAGTTCTATAGTGTACTTATGTATGATATTTGAGTTTTTGAATTTTTACTAGTGAAACTAATTGTTTTCCTTTGTTGTAGTGCTGAGAATATTGAAAGTGGACTTCCCGACGAAGCTGAAAATTAAGGGGCAAAGGAGCATTTTGTTGGAAAGTTTAGGGTGATGGGTTAATGGGATACTGTTTTCTTTGTTTTATTCTTATTTTTTTATGTTCCAATTGTGGATGTTACGGAGAGGCTAAGCATGAAATACAATTTTGATAGACTTGTTGGTAGAACTATTTAAGGCCTGCATGGTTCTTTCTTGTGTGTTTCATAGTTTAGAATTTATAATTTTAGTTCGTTATTATTTTTATTGTTTATTGTCCTCTTCAACTTTGTAATCTTGGGTTGAACACGATTGCGGATTTGGAAGTTTTATTTGTGTGAACAATTATATATTTGAGACGTTATTTTTCATTGGTTTATGACTTTTCTGTTTTAGTCGAGAAACGGGGTCTGTTTGATAATCATTTTTGTCTTGTGTTATGTGTTTTGTCTTTTTTTTTTTTAATTTTTGTCAAAAGTGAAAATAACAACACATTTGAATATTATTTTTGTTTTTATTTTTGTTTTATATTAGTTTTATTGGAAACAAAGACAAAAAAATGGGAACAAAAAAAGGATGTTTCAAAAAACACCAAACACGGAGACACAACACACAAAAAGGAGTGAGAATTAATGAGATCTGGACTTCGACTCCTCTTATCAGCAAAATAATTTTTTTTTTGTTGAAATATAAAAACCTATTGCATCCCTCTTTCCTCCCCATTGCTTCTCTCTCTTTGTCTCTCTCCTCTCTCCCTCGTTTCTTTTTTTTTTTTTGTATCAGACCACTTGTCTCCATCGCTGTCTCCTCTCTCTTTTCTCTATATGAAACCTAGAAGCTCTCCTTTCTCCATATGAAACTCAGAAGCTGTGAACCCACCTCAATCGTTGCCTCTCTCCTTCTTCTCTATGAAACTCATAAGTTGTGCATATATATTGTTGTGATCGTGCACTAATTATGATGAATAATAAGGAATCAAACAATTAAGAAAGCAGGAGAAAATAACACACAGAGATTTACGTGGTTCGGCAATGTGCTTACATCCACGAGAGCGAGCGGCCGTTCTTTTCTATTATTGAAGTAGGGTTACATCTTAAGTATTTATATAACCCTAATATGCACGTATTTACAAAAATACCCCTGTACCGTACCGCCCCCGCGTTGCCCCCGCACCCCCAACTAATCAGCGTCCCCTTTATATAAATCCCGCAAGGCAGATGCCGTCGCGGGCTCCGCTCCGGCATCTGCCTCCTTGCCATTATGCACACAGCAAATATGAGCCACATATACTCTAACAATCTCCACCTTGGCAAATATTCACCCCTTAGAAGAAAAAAAAGAGGACATGTATTCGGGAACTCCACCGGGGACGCTGAGTTGAGGCATCTCCCATCTAGCAACTAGAGACATTAATCAAGTCTAAGCAGTGCTTGAACTTGTCTGTAGTAACAGGCTTTGTCAACATGTCTGCTGCATTCTCAGAAGTGTGAACTTTCTCAAGTAATAGTTCACCAGAAGAAACCAGTTCCCTGATCTTATAAAACCTCGCATCTATATGTTTGGTCCTCGCATGATACACTTGGTTCTTTGCTAAATAAATGACACTCTGACTGTCACAATACAATTGAACTCCACCTTGCTGGGCACCCAGCTCCTTGACTAAACCTGTAAGCCACAAAGCCTCTTTGGCAGCCTCAGCTACTGCCATATACTCTGACTCAGTAGTAGATAGTGCAATTATAGGCTGTACCATGGACTTCCAACAAATAGGTCTTCCCATAAGAGTAAACACATAACCTGTGGTAGACCTCCTGTCATCCAAGTCCCCTGCATAGTCTGCATCCACATATCCCATAACTGAAGGGTCACTCTGTTGTCTGCTAAACCTGATGTCATAGTCTGTAGTGCCCCTCAAGTATCTGAAAATCCACTTGACTGTATCCCAATGCTATCGACTTGGATTTGAAAGAAACTTGCTAACCACGCTGACAGCTTGTGCCAAATCTGGTCTTGTACAAACCATAACATACATCAAACACCTCACTGCACTAGCATATGGGACCTTTGACATGTCATGAACTTCATCATCTGTCTTCGGGCACTGAGCGGTAGACAATCTGAAATGATTCGCCAAAAGTGTACTTACTGATTTTGCATAACTCATGTTGAACCTGTCCAACACCTTCTCAACATAGCTATGCTGAGATAGCCATAATCTCCTGGAAGCTCTGTCTCTGCGAATCTCCATCCCAAGAATCTTCTTGGCCGCACCCAAATCCTTCATGTCAAATTCTCTACTCAACAAAGTCTTCAACTTGTTGACCTCACTCATATTCTTGGCAGCAATCAACATATCATCCACATAAAGTAACAGAAAAATAAATGAATCATCATCAAGCCTTTTTACATAGACACAACAATCATACTCACACATTTTGTAGCCAATTCGGATCATGTAAGAGTCAAATCGTTTGTACTACTGCCTCGGAGACTGCTTCAGCCCATAAAATGATTTTTTCAAATTACAGACCAAATGTTCCTTTCCAGGGAGACTGAACCCTTCTGGCTGTACCATGTAAATTCGTTCTTCCAAGTCGCCATGAAGGAAAGCTGTCTTTACATCCATCTGCTCCAACTGCATATCTGAATGTGCTACTAGTGTCAACACTGTCCTGATGGAAGTGTGTCTGACCATGGGGGAGAAGATCTCATCATAGTCAACTCCTTTTCTCTGTGAGTAACCCTTTGCTACTAGACGAGCCTTGAATTTTTCTCCCTCATTTTCTGATACTGCTTATTTCTTCTTATACACCCATTTGCACCCTATTGCTCTCTTCCCCTCGGGAAGTTCCACCAACTCCTACATCTGGTTCTTATGCAGAGACTCCATCTCCTCCACCATAGCACCCATCCATCTACTTTTCTCTTGGCTTTGTACTGCCTCCTGAAAAGTTGTAGGATCCCCGCTACTAGTAATAAGTGCATAAGAAACCAAATCTTCAAAACCATACCTGGTAGGTGGCTTGATATTGCGTTTGGGCCTGTCTGTGGCTATACTATGATGCTGTTGATCACCTGAGATAGAACGCTCTACATGCTGAGCATCCTCTTCTCTACCATGATTCTCTAGCTCCACCTGCACCACATGGTCATTAGTGCTATAGTTTTCTGGTACTTGTTTCTCTTCTTCCTGAGTACGCTGCAACATGGCTTTTTCATCAAAAATCACATCTCTACTGATCACCATCTTGTTTGCCTTCGGATCCCAGAGCTTAAAGCCTTTCACTCCTTTCTGATATCCCAGAAAGATACACTGTCTAGACTTCGCATCAAGCTCAGACCTCTCCTCACTAGAAACATGTACATAGGCTGGACATCCAAACACTCTCAAACCAGAGTAGTCTACCTCACTGCCTGTCCACACCTCCTCTGATACTTTCCCATCTAGTGTTGCCCTCGGTGATCTGTTAATCAAGAAACATGCCATATTCACTGCCTCTGCCCAGAAATTCTTTGCAAGCCCTGCATTCAACCTGAGACACCAAGCTTTCTCGACTATCGTTCTGTTCATCCTTTCCGCTACACCATTTTGTTGTGGTGTCTTGCGGACTGTGAAGTGTCTCTTGATCCCATGCTGCTCACACAACTCTTGGAACTTTGAATCTGTGTACTCAGTACCATTATCTGACCTGAGGCATTTAATCTTCCTCCCTGTCTGGTTCTCTACTTCAGCTTTCCACAGCTTGAACTTGGCAAACGCTTCTGACTTGTGCCACATGAAGTACACCCAGACCTTTCGTGAGTAATCATCAATGAAACTCATGAAATACATGTATCCTCCCCGTGATAGTACGCTAACTGGTCCCCAAACATCTGTATGGACATAGTCCAGAACCCCCTCTGTCTTGTGTGTGGCTGTCTTGAACTGCACCCTATTCTATTTTCCAAGAACATAATATTTGTAAAAAATGAGCTTGCATGTCTTGACACCCTTCAATAGATTTTTTCTTATGAAGCTCTATCATCCCACGCTCACTCATATGACCCAGCCGCATATGCCACAAGACTGTATTATCTGATTCAGACTCTACAGCAGCAACTCCACCTACAATTGTAGTACCCAGCAGTCTGTAAATGTTTCCTACTACTTTCTGTCCCTTCATCACTGTCAGCATGCCTTTACTTACTTTCATTACTCCACTTATAGATTTGTAACTATAACCATTACAATCCAAAGTGCCCAATGAAATCAATTCTTCCTTAGATCCGGTACATGTCTAACATCACACAACGTTCTAATCATACCATCAAACATCTTAATTCTAATATTTCCTATTCTAACAACTTTGCAAGATGCATCATTACCCATCAGAACAGAACCAAAATTTACTGACCTGTAGGTGTCAAACCAATCTTTGTTGGGTGTCATGTGATAGGAACATGCTGAATCCATAATCCAAGAATCTGTTAAACGATCTGAACTAGATAAAACAGAAAGCATATCTCCGTCACCACTCTCTGAATCTTCTTCTTCCACTACGTTTGCAGACTTTGATGCACCCTCTTTGTTCTCTGAATCCCCTTTCTTTTTCTCTGGACAGTCCCGTTTAAAGTGCCCCTTTTTCCCGCACTTGTAACACGAGACAGAGACGTCTTTCTTCTTCTTCCTCGACTTGGATCGGGCTTTATTGTTACCCGATCCATTATGAGATTTGCTTCTTCCACATTCCTGGTTACCTTTCACCACAAGCCCTTCACCTTGTGAAGCCTCATCACTGGCTTTCTTCCGCTGATGAAAACCTAACAGAGCACCTGTGACATCCTCCAATTCGAGGGTTTCTTTCCCCCACATCAGAGTCGTAACCAAATTCTCATACATAGGAGACGCCGGTAAGGAATTCAGCAACATCAGCGCCTTGTCTTCGTCTTCGAACTTCACATCAACTCGCTGATGATCTGATTGAACACGTTGATGTGTTGGGTCAAATCCGAGCCCTCTGACATCTTAAGACCATATAGTTTCTGCTTAAGATAGAGCTTGTTCGTCAACGACTTGGACATATACCGACTTTCCAGTTTCAACCAAACTTTCGCCGGTGATTCCTCATCCATGACGTGATACATCACTTCATCAGCCAGACAAAACCTAATAGTCGCCACAGCCTTCGCTTCCAATTCTTTCCAATCCATGTTGTCCATTCCTGCCGGTTGTTTTTCGTATAATGCCTTCACCATGCCCTGCTGCACTAACAGGTCCTTCACCCTCCTCTGCCATAATCCGAAATTTTCAGTTCTGTCGAACTTCATGATGTCGAATTTTGTAGAGGAAATCCCAGATATCGTAGTCTAGCTTTGATACCAATTGTTGTGATCGTGCAACAATTATGGTGAATAGTAAGGAATCAAACAATTAAGAAAGCAGGAGAAAATAACACACAGAGATTTACGTGGTTCGGCAATGTGCCTACATCCACAAGAGCGAGCGACCGTTCTTTTCCATTATTGAAGTAGGGTTACATCTTAAGTATTTATATAACTCTAATATGGACGTATTTACAAAAATACCCCTGTACCGTACCGCCCCCGCACCCCCAACTAATCAGCGTCCCCTTTATATAAATCCCGCAAGGCAGATGCCGTCGCGGGCTCCGCTCCGCTACGTTCCGCTTCGCTCCACTCCGCTACGCTCCGCCATCTGCCTCCTCGCCATTATGCACATAGCAAATATGAGCCACACATATTCTAACATATATGCACAGATCGCTGCCTCCAAACGAATTGCCACCTCCATCGCTGCCTCCAGACGAATCGCTGCCTCCTATCTCCTTTCTCTGTATGAAACCCACCTCCATCGCTACCTCTCTTTCTCCTCTCTTATCTCTTTCTCTCTTCTCTATGAAACTCAGAAGTTGTGCATATATATGCACAGATCTATGTATATATTCACAGATCTGTGCGTGTGTGTGTGGATACCAAACATATTTTTAGATATCAAACAAATTTTTTTGGCTTGTCTTATTTTTTTGACAACAAATTTGATTTCGATGAGTCGATTGCTTTCAGGGCCATTGCTTGGTTGATATGCCTTAATTTCTTTAAATTAGTTCATACACAATATATCTATGCATACATGGAGATTATAATTGTAGCTCTGTCTGCATATGAGCTTGGAAGGTAATGCTGCTGAATCTATAAGATTGAGTTCAAACTTGACATATGTGTACTCAGTTTACTGCTATGTGTATGATTTTATCTCAGTTCAAATGTGCTCGAGAGTGAAATTTAGGATAAAATTTGATGTGGATAACAAACATATTTTTTATTTTTATTCTCATAATTTGATAGATAAAAATGATTCTCAAACATGTTTTTTGTTTTAGTGTTTATCACAAAACAGAGACAAAAATTATCTCTATTTTTAATTTTTTTCAAGATACAAAAATAAAAATATTACCAAACGACCCCTAAATCTCGAAACATTCAAAACATTTTCGTTTCTATGAAAACTGAAACGAATCATTGATTGAATATCAAAATTTCGATATTTCAAGGTATTTCAGTAGGTTTTAAGGTGTTTCGACATATGTTTTGGTACATTTCGACTAATATTGTGGAAATTAATTTTTAATTTTTTTTTATTTCTATCTTGTTTTCGAAATATTACAAAAATGTTTTTATTTTAAAGCTCACCAAAATTGCATGGTGAAACATTTAAGCTCACTGAAATTACATACCGAAACGAAATTGTGATTCTAAAACTTAGTTGTCATTACACTCGCAGCCCACTCGATGTAATTAGGATGGTTAAATCAAACTTGATATTGAGGTTTTTAGAGTGTTTGGTAATGGGAAATTATTCCAACCACACGTTCAAGTATGATCAAATCTCAAAGCACACAATTACTCACAAAACATATATGTATAGGTTAAATCTAGAACTTATGTGGTCTTGAATTCTGGGCAGGTGGGTTTTTGGTTTTTTTCCCTTGTTCGACTACCGAACCAATTGTCCAGATTTTATGTATGTACTGTTTCAGAATCGAGTGGGATAATTGAGAATGGAATGGTCGGAAGAGGTTGGTTTGATCTGGCTGGCAGCAGCTACCTTCAAACCATATGAATTAATGTTAAATTCATATATATATATGTGTATAGAATACTGCAGTATATCTTTTTTCTCATTGTGCACGGGAAAGATCTGATGAACAAGAGAGAGGATAAATTGTTCAACAGAAGCATTAAAAGGGGCTCTTTTTCATCCCATAAGTTTTTCTCATTGCTCTCTTTCCATCAATGCTCTGCTCCACCTTTGATGGCTAGCTGATACCTGTCACCGCCATGAATCACACACACTCGCTTTTAAACTTGAGAAGAATCAGCCCTGATAAATTCTTCCCCCCTTGAAGATGTTAGGTTACCAAATTAGGTGAGACATGCTTCTCTCTCTCTCAAAACGTTGTCAAAAGGGCAAGCATTCCTCATCAGGGGTGATGGGTGATGCTGATATTTGAAGGCCATAACTTCCCTGTTTATGAGATTGCGGTTGAAGTTCACAAAAATTTTACTTTTCATGTGTTTAGAACCTTGTTGACACATTCTCTTTGCATTAAAACTACTTTAAACCGTGGCTGCGGGGCATGACCAGTGCTCACATTAAAGCAATTTTCTTGCACAACAACTTTTTTTTTTTTCGTTTCTATATCTCTCTCTCTGTACACACACATACATGTATGTATGTTGATATCATGTCATCATCTGTCCAATGCTGTAAAGACTAGAGTTCATCTACCGACAAAACGGAGAAGCTGGGCCGGGGGTGCAGTTCTTAGTATAGACATGGAAACATTTTTCTTTAGGTTCTGGCAGACTTAAAAATGAATGCATTATTGCATTGAGACTTTCATCTCCTGGTTTCAAAGGCAATCGAGCATATAATAAATGATAACAGTTGAGAGATCCAGTACCCAACTCATACTTAAAGTTGATGCCCATTCAAATTTAACACACAAACCTATTGTCTTACTGTTCTTATTCTCTTGCTTGCTTTTCTCCCACAGCTTCTCAAGTTTCATGGATTGGTCGCACAAGCTTCTCTTCACAGCTTTTCTCATTGTTGCTGCAGCCACTCATGGAACTCAAGGTGATGCCGTGGTCACTGGCACTGTCTTTTGTGATCAATGTAAAGATGGCCAAATATCCCTTTTCGATTACCCCTTATATGGTGAGATCTACAGTTCTTATTACATTTTCTAATACAGTCTTACACTTCATGTTTATTGATGTTCTATCAAAGTCAGATAATTAGGATGTCCTCTCTTCTGCACCAAAGTAGGATGTTCATCATGGTTCCATTTGCCCGGGAAAAAATGTTGGTGCTGTACTATCTTGGAGCCTATTACTGTTTTTATTCTTCTTCTTTGATCTTAATCTCCATTAGTTTGTGCATGGTTGGCCCCAAATCTCCTTTATATGGTCCCTCAAGTTGCCAATGAAGGCACTTTATTAAAGGGCATGTTTGATGTTGGAGAGGAATATATCAATGTCAAAAAGAGTAACTCACTCTGCGAGACCCCCGCCAATGCAAGGTCCTGGGAGAAAGCTTGGTCAGTGATGGATTGACGAGGGTCTCAGGTGCCACCTGATTATATATGACTTAAAAAAACTTGTTTTTCTGGTGTATATGTGTTATAGACTTTAATGTGCTTCTTGTATTGCTCAACGTATGTATATCATTTTTCATCGTCTCTTCCTCCTTCTCAACATTCAAATGAGTTCAAAGATTATAATCAAACTACAATTATATTCTGACACCTGTCCTTATGCAGGAATAAAAGTTGCAATGGCCTGCCCAGGCAGTGATGGGCAATTCACCATCTTGGGGGAGGAAACCACAAATTGGTTAGGAAACTATGCTATGAGGTTTCAGGGTATCCCAGATTTAAGTGGTTGTTATGCTCAAGTTTTAACTGGTGGGCAGGGGTCCATGGGCTGTGGCATGGCAGCTGGTGCTGCCCAGTATCCGAGACTCGTGTTTAGGATGTTCAATATGGAAATTTATACAGTTGATCCTTTGCTCTCTCAACCTGAAGACCCTTTGCCCTTCTGCCCAAGGTCAGGTTCCCCTGTCCCTGTGCCGGTAACCCCTGAAACCCCTCCACCCGCGAGACTTCCACCAACGCCTCAACCGCCATCAATGCCACCATTGCCTCCAATGCCACCAGTGCCATTCTTAGAAGCCTCAGCCTGTCCCTACAAGTAAGTTGATCATAAAGTTCTCAATGAGAAGCATTCTAGGTTAAGCCATGAACAAGCAAATAGTTTGATTAGGCATGGCTGTGTAGTATGCTCACAGACTCCATGACCCATTTTAATGCACATATTAGTTTACATCCATGTCTGGATACTATAACTGATGCATAAACTTATTCCATTCCTCTACATGAAAAGTACTTGACCTTGTCTTTTCCAGACAAATATGACCACCCTCCCCCATCAAACCGAGCCTAAATTAATGAACTTGATCTTCTCCTATTTAAATTCTACAAAAAAATTCTATGACATTGCAATATATATGATTACTAGCAATAACCCATGCCTAAAAGCATTGGGCAACACAAATAAATCGAACATTAGTCAGGTAGTATAAATATATGAAATAACAATATATGTTTTTCTATCATAAAACATGAGGGCAGCCATCAATGTAAGTGAATATACTGATCCCATAGATGTAGCAACTTATGATTGTATAGGTAGCTGTTGATTTGGTTCCTCTAATCTAATGATTCTACCATTTGGTAGCAATTGGACAATGCCCGAATACAAATGCTACTGGAAGGTGGTGAGTCCAGACATGAAAGTAGCCGTTGTTTTTGGACTGCTAGCTGCAAGAAAATATGGGACAGACATTACTCTATGGACAGCCTTGGGAGGGAGAGGAGACCCATACAAGACCCTCCTAAGAGAAGGAACAACTGCACTTCTTAACTCCTATAATAGTCTCCAGTTTCAATACCATCCTCTTGATGTGATCGAACATTTGAATTTGGCCTTAATGGGCTCGACTCGACAAGTCGTATTGACAGCTCTGCGGTTCATATGGGCCAATTCTGGTAACGGCAATGTCAGCTGCAGATTCACCCCTTGCAAGTAATCTATCCTTTCGCCATTCTGTAATTTATGTTAGTGATGGTTCATTGTACCAGATTCTCATCATTAATGATGTTAACAAAGTGTTCAAAAATAGAGCGATAACAAGTGTTTATATTCAAATTTAAACTAGTAACTCAATATCTTTAGAATTTACATAATGTTGTCCGCCATTTATTTCTATCAAATCCATTTTACAATCACACGAGCTTTACATTACAGCGGTAGATAATTAATTTAAATAATAAAATTAAAAAACTTGATCATGACCCATACAATCGCCTAAAAATTATCTGTCAATTGAGATCCTTTCGTTGAACTCGGCAATGAGTTGGGGATCCATCACAAGCAACTAATAATACGAATCATGCCATTAACCAAAAAATTTCTTTTTTCCAGGGATGTAGATAGGATATAGTGTTATTAGAGATAGGAGTTTAATTATGATACCGAAAAGTAAATTTTTATACCATTCTTTTAGTTTTTGTTAATAAAAACATGACATGTATAAACTTATTTTACTTTACTTCATTATTTTTATGATTAGTGACTATACATTTATTAAACCAAAATCTACAACTCTGAACAATTTTGGGATGATACCAAATTATTTTTTTTTTGGAAGTACCATATAGTCATAAATGATACTCTCTCACTAAAATAAAAACAGTTAGAGATGCAATGTAATTTTTTCATATATTGAGAGGTTAAAATGAGATAGGAACATAATTTAGGAGGTTCAAATGTATTTTTTTCAAACCCCTCTTAATTATGGTCTTAATCTTATTTTACCTCTCTACTATTAAAATTGTCACATTACTCCCAAGACATCGACTAAGGGTGGGCGTTGTGCCATCCTCCCAGATAGCCCTGTGTCGTGTGAAGTTCGTACTTGGGCTTAGGCCTATCAGGCCTTTTTTTTATCCGGACTGGGAGGGATGGGCAGCTATGGGCCAAGCCGTTGGACAAGCCTAACGCTTCGTTTTCTAGCGATAGAGTAATTGTTTCCAAAACTACGTCGTTTTAGACAAAATGAGAAATGGAGCAGTATAGCAGACAATCTCTGCCCGTTCCAGTAACAAGATGACAGCACTTTATGGATGCCTAATCCACATAGAAGTCACCAGCATAAAGGCGGCAGAGGGAGGGGTGCACTTGGTCGTACAACACTACGCAAATTTCAAGGATTGAGCTTTTGAATTATATTTGTGATCCGTATTTTTGTTGGACCGGCTTCTTTATATTCAACCAGAGCATGTGGCTCTCCACCATTCTATCTACATCAATCCAAAGCTTAATTAAGCAAAGCCATGAATATTTACACCTCACTGTTCCTGATTCTTGCAGCCTTATCACTATCTGAGTGGTCACTCGCCTTCAAGAGCCATGAACTCTCAATCAGAGAAGCCACAGTGCAGGACCTCCAAAAAGCCTTCAAGCAAAACCAGCTCACATCAAGGCAACTAGTTGAGTTCTACATTAAAGAAATCAATAAACTTAACCCGGTTCTGAAAGGGATCATAGAGGTGAACCCCGATGCTTTATGCCAAGCAGAGCAAGCTGACCAGGAGAGAGAGGTCAAGTCACCTAGCTCACTGTCTGGGTTACATGGTATTCCTATCCTCCTTAAGGATAATATTGCAACCAAGGATAAGCTTAACACGACTTCCGGATCGTTGGCGTTGTTAGGATCAGTGGTACCCCGGGATGCCGGTGTGGTGATGAAGTTGAGGAATGCAGGAGCCATTATATTGGGGAAGGCTAGCTTGAGTGAGTGGGCTAATTTTCGGTCATTCACTGCACCTAATGGATGGAGTGCTAGAGGAGGACAAGGAAAGGTGAGTAATAGACTCTTGCTGTTTTGATTTCTGAATTTCCATTGAACCACATTAGATTTTAACATAAAAACATGAGGGGTGAAAGTGCCGGCCGTGGTTGGTCTTCAGTACATGAGAAATGAAGTTCTTTATGGTATGAATAGTATTTTTCTTTTAATTAAATAAAAAAAGCCCTACCCAAATGTCACTGACATGGAATCAGGGCATTATCTTGATGCAATGGAAAATATGCCTAAAGCGAGAGATATTCTTGGTTTATTGGCATTGATTTTTTTTTTTGTGACTTATTGGCTTTCCAGAAATAAGAATTCACTAATAGATCTCTTCTGCAATGATCTGCAGAATCCATATGTTCTATCGGCGGATCCTTGTGGCTCAAGTAGTGGATCAGCAATAGCAGTGGCAGCAAACTTGGTGACAGTGTCACTGGGGACTGAAACGGATGGTTCCATCATATGCCCAGCTAGTTTTAATGCGGTCGTGGGCATTAAACCAACTGTTGGTCTCACTAGCCGAGCAGGGGTCATCCCAATTTCTCCAAGACAGGACACCATAGGGTAGGTGGTCTCATGTGCTTAAATTGCTCCATCTGATTGTTATGCAAAAAATGAAAACAAACTGGACATGAATGTTGGATTCATTTGGAATGTTGATTGTAGTCGTAGGATCTCCAAAATATGTGTTTTTAGAACGAACAGGATATGGGCTGAGAATGGAGAGTTGCAGAGAGTTAGACAAGATTGGGATGGGTGTCAACTAAGGTTTTTTTCTCATTGATTACATGATGATATGATGGCAATCTTTGACGTGAATTTTTTTTCATACTTGGTTGAGCAGACCCATATGCAGGACTGTATCAGATGCTGTTTATGTTCTTGATGCCATTGTAGGCTTCGACTTCAATGACGCTGAAGCAACTGGAGAAGCATCAAAGTACATCCCTCATGGTGGCTATACCCAATTTCTAAAGATTGATGGTCTCAAGGGGAAGAGACTGGGTATTGTGAGGAATCCCTTTTTAACATTTGCCAATGAATCAGTCCTACCTCAAACATTTGAGTACCACTTCCAAACATTAAGGTACTTCAAGCACCTCTCTCAAATCAATGCACATGATAACTCAAGCTTTTCTGAATCTCATTCCGTTAATATTTTCCCTCATATGTTAGTTAAATCTCTCAGATCCTACAGAGGCACGAGGCTCGCGTATGCGTTGTCCCCCCCCCCCCCCCCCCCTCCTTCCTTTTCTCTTGCTGTCTTGCATACGATACTTCAATCTGATATCTTATATAATGCTATAATCTTAAAAAACAGGCAAAGAGGAGCAGTTTTAGTAGACAATTTGGAAATAGCCAACATTGATGTCATCATGAACTTCAATCTGAGTGGTCAAGAAACGGCATTGCTGGCTGAATTTAAGTTGTCCTTAAATGCATACCTGAAAGAGCTCGTGGATTCCCCTGTTCGATCTTTGGCAGATATAATAGCTTTCAACCAAAAATTCGCTGATTTGGTGAGTATATTTACAAAGATTCATTCGTTAATTCACTCTGAAGGATTTTTTCTATCATACTATTCTTTTGATCTCTCAATGTCTGGAGTTGGCACGACTAAAATCACACACTGGATGGTACTGTGAACTTGTTTGGATGCACTCATGCGCAGGAGATGATTAAGGAATTTGGACAAGACATTTTTCTGGCAGCTGAAGCCACGGATGGGATCGGTGATGCAGAAAAGAAAGCTTTGCTCAAATTGGCAAGACTAACACAAGCTGGGTTCGTGAAGTTGATGGTGGAGAATAAGCTGGATGCATTGGTGACTGCTGGCTCTGATGTTGCTCCTGTGCTTGCAATCGGGGGGTTTCCGGGAATTAGTGTCCCTGCTGCATACGATATCAATAGCAAGGGGGTTCCTGTTGGTCTCTGTTTTGGTGGATTGAAGGGTTCTGAGCCTAAGCTGATTGAAATCGCGTACAGTTTTGAGCAAGCAACTAAGTCTAGGAAGCCGCCTAAATTTCAACCTTGAACCGACACTGTATTTTTCTAACAAATATTTTATGCTACACAATCTTAATTGGTCTAGGCAAGTTCTAATGATTGTAAGTTTGTAACACAACGGTTTATTTGTGTGGAAAAAAGGTCAAAAATCGGGAACACATACAAATTGGCATGAGCCATTTGCATAACTATGATTATGGACCAGAGTGATAGCTATGATTATGGAGCACGGTGATAGAGTTGTAATCAGCTTCTCTCTCTCTCTCATTGTGTGTTTAGAGCAAGGAAGGACAGACAAGGTCACTAGAAAAGCTTATATTTATTACTAATGCTATTGAAAAATAATTTAGGGACATAATTTGAAGATTTAATGCATTGTAACAATTTGATTGATAGTGTTCAGACTCACTGACAATCTAATAGCCAAAATAATTAGGTCTCTAATTTATGTTCTCTTATAATTCATATAACATTGCTCTATATTTATAGGAGAAATTTCTCGACAAGATAAATACATAATGCTAGGTGGTACATTTTAATGTGTGGAGAGAGAGAGAGCGAGAGCACTAGCTAAGCTATGTGGAGCTGGGCTATTGAAAGCAGTGAGGTGAGGAAGAGGAAAAGATATTGGTACTAGTAATACCAAACTATTATTGTCACGTAGTATCAACGTCGAATAAAATCATAACAAATAAGCATGCGAATCTAACATATTATAGCAACCATTATGTCATGTTATTTAATAACCACCCAAGTAGAGTTTATCTTGCCCATATATAAATTTTCTATTGAATGGTAACACCACATATCAATGATAACGTGGTGTCATCGTTACACCCAATATTTAGTCGAGAAAGAGATAAAAAAAATGGTTAGCTTTTAACCCTAATTGACTAATGTTTTAGGGCAGAATGGTAAAATTTAAATTTATCCTTTAAATAGAAAATTCGAGTAGATAAATTCCACACGATCCGTGGGTTTAAAAAATCCGGTTCAGATGGTATAAGGACCTTCAATTACTATGGGTCGTGCTTTTGCTTAGCAACATGTATCCCATCAAATTTTGTGGATTCTTGGGATATTTGAAGCCATGATAATTTAAACTCAATCCACATGTTTTATCCAGCTATATCCATCAAAGTAAACACTTCCTAGAATTATTATAGTTGTAAATGTTGTGATTCTTTATTAAAATTCTATTAACATATCATTTGATGAACAAATTAAATCAATCTCAAGTGTATTAATCTTCACCTAAAAATTGCCGAACCTCAGTTTTGTCTAGTTAATGATGCTTTGCCGGCAAACCTAGTTAATGATGTTCAATGGTCTTAGCCATGCCGGAGGTGTACGGCAATGGCCAAGGTCAAAGGTTGAAAGAACTTGGTTTTCCAAATTCAAAAGCTTCACCGCATGCAATGGAAAACGTGACCATATCTTTTGTTCTCAACTTCGTCGTCACCACTACAAGGGCAGCTTTCTAAGCCTATTTGGGTCACAACTCGATCCGAAATCGGTCCGGGGAAGATGCCCACCGCCGGTGTGAGTCTGGCATTTTCCAACTGACTCGTCCGTGGAGTCGCTACGTTCATGCGGACCTAGTTGGTCATGCCTTTGTTTTATATCTCTATCAAGCTTTATAATTTGTTGGACAAAACTGAGGTTTGATAACTTTTGTGCGTAGTCTAGTGTAACCCGAGTTGGACTCTATTCATAACTTTATAATCTCTTAACGGTTAATTATGTCAGGTTAAGCAGGTTTGTCCCATATTTATGCGATTGGCGTGAAAAATAATTCTATTTTATTAAATGAGTCTAAATTGAAAACATGAACATTACTTGTTTATTTTATGGGTAACATAAAATATCTGACGAATTTAATTTCTTCGGAGAGAATGTAAAAACCACTTTTTTAGTATTCACGAGCTATATGATAACCCCACCCCAATTTAACCCATTTAATATATGGATCATTTTGGGTCTTGTATGTTGACATGACCCATATGTAAGTAATGAAATACAAGAGTGCTAGCGGTGTGTTAATTTTTCAAGTAATTGTGAAATGGTGTGTACAAAAATCGATTCTGACTTCAATGTTTGCTATAGAGTCCTCCGACTGTAGCTAACTAAGATTGATTTTTCCTGAAAAGACTTCCTAGTCGGCCACGAAATCTTCACGAGGCAAGTGGGTGTTAGTTATCCTCAAGTTTAGATAAACCTGTCAAATTCATCGATATGAAATTAAGTAAACACGACACAAATTTAAATAAATATGATATGAATCTAGTTAAATAAGATTAATACATGACATAGACTCCACATGGCACAAGAACTCCATTATAGACGATTATGTATAGTTTAGACATAACTTGAAATTATCATTAAAATCTCTTGATTTATTTAATACTCATCAGTTTTTAGTCACCCTTATTTTCTCTCTCTTTCCCTCACACACGCACACACTCTCTCAAAGACATGGAGATGAGGAGGCTATCTCCAAGAGAGTTACACAAAGCACACAAACACTAGCTTAGCTCCACTGTCAAACCTCACTTTTGTCTAATATTAATAAAGCCAAAAAGATCGAAGATATAAAGGCATAAAAATATCACCTGCCAATTTGCCAAAAAAACAGGAATATCTGTCCACCGAACTATTGCCCACCCTTTTGATCAAAAAAAAACTATTGCCCACCCCTTTGCCGGGCTAATGATACTTCGCCATACCCGCCTTGTGAGATGATGTTAATAATTGCCGAACCTTCTTACCTGGCAGCTAGGAATTAATACAATATGATATAGAAACGATGCAATGAAAAAATTATAAAAAATAAGACACGGATAGAAAGTATGGATATCGTCTCACTATAATATGTCTAAAAAGTGAATGTGATTAATCATATATATATATGATTCTTTGGTCACCTTTATTATCTCTAACTAAGTCTCTCTCTCTTCTCTTACACTCACACGCACAAGGAAATGAGGAGGCTCTATCTGTTTCTAATACTTTCTTCAATGGTATTAGCCATGCCGGCGGCAGTGTACCGTAGTAACCGAGGTCCGAAAGAGGTTGAAGAGTGGTTCCAAGCTTCACTTCAGCTTCCATCAAACACTTAACGTTGAGAACCCAACCGCCGTGACGGTGGCCAAATCCCACACAACTGATGCATCACCTACCTTCTTCGGCTAAGTTAACGTTATCGATAATCCATTGACAGTTGAGTCCCAATGGTCTTCCAAGGAGATTGGTCGAGTCCAGGGACTTTACGCTGCTGCCTCACTAGAGGATGTGGCCCTATCTTGTGTACTCAACTTCATCTTCACAGAGGGGGAGTACAATGGCAGCTCTCTAAGCCTGTTGGGTAACAACCCATTCCGGCTTCAGGTCCGGGAGATGCCTATCGTCGGTGGATCTGGTGTTTTCCGACTAGCTCGTGGAGTTGCTACGTTTACGACCTATTTCTGCGAGGTTCCTCCTGAAAATGTTCCCCCTAAAAATGTTACTGTGGAGGTGAATATTGTAGCCATGCACTGCTGAGTTATGGCGTCTTGAATTTTCTTTTCCTTTAATTTGTTTTCTGGGTTGGTGGTGTTCTTGCATACTTCAGCATGCATTTCAGGTTTGTAGTGTTCGTGGAGTGATCTTTGTTATGCCTTTGGCCTCTATTTTATCGAGGGTTAACAGCGTCTAGCTCTGTATAGTTTAGTGTAACCAGAGCTAGGCTATTCATATTTGTATAATCTAGCAATGGTGTCATAATAAATCCATAAAACTGCATTTAAATGGGTATAGACTGCAAACATGAACATGACTTGTTAAATTTAGGGATTACCCTGCATGATTTGGCGACATGACCTAATTTATTTCATGGTTCACACGACACGACCCATATGATCAGTTTTGTCGGGTCGCCTGGTTTGACATGACCCATTTGCAACATTGTTGAAAAAAATAAGGGTTAATTGTACTGTAGGTCCCCAAAGTATGAAATTTATTTTATTTTAGTATCTAATATTTTAATTGCATCATTCTAAAATATTTAATATGTTTTCATATGATCACTAAAGCAGACAACATTCAAATTATTAACAGTTTTATTATCATAAATTTGTCACGTGATGCCTAAATATAGACAATAAATAATTTGGGTAACTTTGACCAAAATTTGGGTAGCTATTGATAAAAAATGTGTAATATGTTTGGTCAAGAGCTACCCAAATTATTTTTTTTGTCTATATTTAAATATCTCTTGACAAGTGTATGATAAAAAATCGTTAACAATATAAACGCTGTCTATTTGAGGGATCGCATAAAAATATATTCAATACTTCAGATACTAAAATAATACAATTGAAATATTAATAAATGGTGACCAAAATAAGATAACCTCTATTGCAATTAACCCAACAAATAAACTTTTATTTTCATTTTTATTTGAGTTATGGAGTTTTGATCTTAGTCCATTTGTTAGTGTTCATCAATATGCAAGTAATTAAAAGGTAGTTTTCCAAGTAATGGATGAGTGAAGTTTATATAAAGAGATTGTAATTTCGCGAAACACAATAATCTATACATTTAGAGTAATGCTAGGGATTCCAAATCAATATAGATCATTGAATTAGTGAGTTCCATAATAAAAAATTGACGAGACTTAATCATCCAATAATTCATGTTAATTTCGAATACCATTTTAGATCGATAGCATTTTCCATACATTTAAGTATAAGTGCATTAATAGAGTTTTTGTTTTCCTCTCTAAGTCACTTCCATTGAAACATGTGTGAGCGCTAATCTCGTATTCATTCCAACAACATAATATTAAAGACAAATTGGCAGTGTCAAAACAAGAGAGATGTCCTATGGAATGCTACCATTTCAAATGCTCAGGTTTGCCAAAGACAACATGAAAATCGGGCCCTGTATTGGGGAAAGCAAAGACACCAGATGAACCTTGAGTAGGGGCAAGCAAAGAAGAGATGTTGGTTAGATTCTTGGCAGTGGTTGCATAGGCTGCATTCAATTTGATGAACAATGGTAAACTATTTCATGGCAATTTCTGCTTGATCAAGTAGTGCAAACATGGAAGGGTAAATCCATGTTCGGAACCCTTCAAAAATTATGCCTCCCAGTAGCTGTTTACTCCATTTGGAGAGAAAGGAACTCAAGGCTCCATATCCAACAATTCAAGAACTCCAAAGTTATGAGCTATTGTCCAAACCATTAGGGACATAATGCTTTCTGTTAAATTCAAGAACACTCTAGAGAACCAACAACTTGGCAGCTTTGCAGCTCAGGTCGATGTCCAAGCTTGATTGCATAGAATTGTATAGGATTAGAGCTAATTCCCATGAGATACTTAGCTAGGCTTAGTACCTCTTAGGAATTCCCCATACTTTTGCACATCAATGGGCATTCACTCCCAATATTGGTTATTTTGTTCGCTATTGCTATTGGGACATAATTGAAAAATATAACTTTGAGAGATAATCAATTGTAACCAACAGATGATAGTTGAATGTATTTAATGATAAGAATTATTGCAACATTAAATGAATTCTACTATTCTATTGATCACAATATACTATATTCTCAAATTATATTCTTAAATTATGTCACAATAAAATTACTCTATTTTGTTTTAAAGACACATCACAAAATTTCCATACGAATGAAAGATTTATTTACTTTCCCAACAAACTTTGAGAATTAGACCATTTTGAGGGGTAAGAAGAAATTAACATCTGTTTGATTATGTTTGGTAAGGAAGAAATGTAGGAAGGATGAAAAAGTGAATGAATTAACTTTCCTTTCAACTCACCAAAATCAATTCCTACAAAATCAAAAAGAAAATGGATGAAAAGTTAATTATTTGTGTTGAGATGTATCTTATTTGTCTATATATCTTTTTATATATACATATATTATATATAATTTAAAAAATATTAAAAAATATTAAAAAATTATAAAAAAAGAAATAAAAAAATAAAATAAAAAATTTTAAATTAAAAAAATATTTTTTCCATTTTAACTAAGGGTGAAAATTTTCGACTCAACACGATAATACGACTCAAACTCGATATGAAAATAAACAGGTCAACTCGTAACTCGATATGACACAATTAGTTAATGAGTTAAGTTACGTTTGACTAGTATTCAACAAAAATTCGTAATGATTCAACACAAATCTGACATGACACTACTTGATTGTCACTCCTAATCTTAGACAACACAAAAAAAAATAGTTATTTTTATTTTTCATCCATCCAACCAAACACAAATGAAAGAAAATGTATCCTTCTCACTTTTTATCCTTGAAGGATAGAAAATGTATCCCACCTAATTTCTATCATCCCTACTAAATGGAGCATAAGAATCATCAAGTTGGATTTGATACAAGTGATTCATTAATTTTTTGGGGAATACAACGAGTTTATATGTTTTTTCTCATAAACACCCTTATTTATTTGGTAATGTGTTGTACATGACCAATTCTATTTGATATTCTAACTCCCATTTTCAATATGACCAATTAGACTCTGAAACTTGAGTCATCAAAGTGATTATTTTTTAGGGGTGTCAAACATGTCGATTTAAACAGTTACGTGTTGGGTTAAATGGGTGACAGGGTAAAAAATATGTAAATCCGTATACGATACGTTTAATAAATGAGTGAAAAATCTTAACACGAACACAATTTATTTAATAAACGGGTAACACGAGACGACATGACTCGTTTAACCCGTTTAATTTTTAAAAAAGTTATATCAACAAATTTTAATACACCACTTTTTTTATTGTCAATTGTATTTACCTCAAAAAAGAGGAATTTTTAGCCAAATTTCACTTAAAAATCAGATTTGAAGGCAAAAAAAAAAAAAAAACAAGAGGTCACTTCCTTTTATAAGCAAGACAACCCTCCTCATCTCCCCTCATTTGATGACGTGGGACAAAAACAAAAAGAGTTGATTGCCTGTTATGAACTGTTCTCATCTCCTCTTCTTTGTCTTTTAACTACTACTTATTATTATTATTTTTGTATTGATTTCTTTATTTTTTTTTTCTAGCTAATTTTTAAAATAATTATTAATTTATTATTATACTAATTTTATTTAAACGGATAAACATGTGATAAACGGTTTGACAAGTCTCACCCGAACACGACCCATTTATTAAATGTGTCTGGCGTAATTCATTTACCACCCAAACCCGTTAAATCTCATCTAAATCCGCTTGATTCGTGTCGGTTAATCATATCGAGTCGAATGTGACAGGCCTAATTATTTCCAATTCAATATCCAAACTCTTTTTTTCTTTGAAAGGTAAAAATTGTATAAATATTATGGTTAATTGTACTGAAGGTCGTTAAAATATAACGTTCGTACCATTTTAATTCTCAATGTTTTAATTGTATCATTTTAGTCCTTAAAGTATTGAATATGTTTCTATATGGTCTTTCAAACAGATCAACATCCAGATTGTTAATAATTTTTTATTATAAATTTGTCACGTAATATCTAAATATGGACAAAAAATAATTTTGTTAACTCTTAAACAAAATTTGGGTAACACTTGATAAATAAAAAAATGAGTAATATAGGTAACCTTTGACCAAAATTTGTATAACTCATGATCCAAACTGTGTAATTTAGGTAGCTATTTAACTAAAATTTGAGTACAAATTTGGTCAAAAGTTATTCAAATTATTTTTTTGTTCATATTTTTGTATCACATAATAAGTTTATGATAAAAAAATCGTTAGTAATTTGAATGTTGTCTACTTTACGGACCATATAAAAATATATTCAATACTTTAAGGAATAAAATGATGCAATTAAAACATTAAAGATCAAAATTTGACAAACTCCATACATTTAGGACCTTCGATGCAGTTGATCCTAAATATTAACCATCAAAAGTATATGTGAGGCAAAGCCTTTAACAAAATACATTAGGCTCAACCTAGTGTAAAAATAATGTTTACAACATGAACACAAAAATACTTTATGAGATAGAATTCTGAAGGAAGTATAAGCCTTGAACCGGTACTTCCAACTAAATCCACTTGGAGAGAGTATAACTTGACAGAAATCAAGCTCCCGTAGCATCGGTAAATGTTCAACATCCAAAAAATCCATCAGGAAGTTTACCCAAGGCAGCAACTATGAGGCCCAAGAATTCACCGAGGTTTACTCGATGCAACTGCTGGGTAGACGCCACGGGTGCAGCAGTTGCAAATTTTAAATTGAAGAGTTGAACTTTGAAGATGTTAATCTGTCTCTTACAGTTTGAAGTATCATGCACAATATTGAGTTGCTATTTTACTTTGGTTGGCGAAGATCTGTTGTTCCTTTCTCGCCAACTGTAATATACAGATGTTGCAGTACTCAGCTCGAACAACACACTTTGCAAAGACAACAAATTAAGTTAATAAATTCTAAATTAAAATCTTGTAGCATTGCTCTTTCATTTTGGGAACTGCAACCCATGTTAACTTCATTTTTTTTTTTTTTGGGTAAGTAATTTCATTAATAAAAAAAATAACACGTATATTCTATGGATACTTGCAAAAATACATCCAACAGAACGAACAAAATCTGTGAGGATGGTGGGATAGTGGGTCATCTATTGCTATAGTAGATGACCTGTTATCCACAAAAACATCAACCATTGGCTAATATGGACACGACAAGGAACTTCCTCATAGCCGGCGTTTACAAACCCCGGCAAAAGTCCAAAAAAGGCCGGCGGAGACTAGATCCGACGTTTTTTCTGCACGCCGTCTACACCGGCACCGAAAACTTCCTCGGCGTTACGTCGGCTTATTAGCCGAATTTCGGTGATAAAAAAAAAAATTAATTTCTTACCAGTGTATGGACAACTTCAAATTTATTACTGATGTATACTTTAACTGTATTTTTAATGATTCAAACCCCGTGCATGTGTTGTGTTTTCCATACTTAATTTACAACTGATAAGAATTCATCTTCATAGGAATATCCGAATTTATGACTCTAGATTTCTTAATATTGAAGCACCTAACACAATGAGAAAAAAAACAAAAGAGTTGTTCCAAAAGCTAAGCCATGCAAAGCCAAAGCTGACCAAAATTCACTTCTACTTCCTCCAAAACTAAACGGAGAGACACTAACCGCCGTAACGGTGGCCAAAGCCAACATGACCGATACATTACCCACCACCTTGGGAGTAATTAACGTGATAGATGATCCAATGACAGTTGAGCCACATTGGACTTCCAAGGTTGTTGGTCGAGCCCAGGGACTGTATGCCATGGCCTCCCTTGAGGAGGTGAGCCTATCCTGTTTCATTAACTTCGTCTTCACATAGGGAGACTACAATGGCAGCTCTCTAACCCTAATGGGTCAGAACCCACTGCGGCAACCTGTCCATGAGATGACGATCGTAGTTGGGTCTGGTGTTTTCCGAATGGCTCGCGGAGTTGCTACGTTTGCGACCTTATTCTTCGATGTTCCTGCTAAAAATGCTACTGTAGATGTCACTATTGTGGGTTTGCACTATTGAGTTATGGCGGTCTGAATTTACTTTTTCTTTGTTTTCTGGAGTTAGACTTTTTCTTGAGGTAGTACATAATTTATAAACATAATTTGATAAAGTTATGAATTATCACCAATGATATGATAATGAATTCATTAATGTTACAATGTGACTTATCGTTAAATATATTTTTCTATCATTTCATTAGTAATAACTTATTATGTCCCAAAATTATGTCTTTTAATTATGACCCAATAGCATTAGTGATTTTTCTTTGTTTTCTGGGTTGGTCGTCTTCAATATTGAATTCATAATGTTTAGGGACCGAGCATTATGAATGCTGGGACTTATAGTGAAATCAATGGTTGAGATTATCAAGTCTAATTTTTAAGTCTACTTTTTAAGTCCATGTAGCATTGCTCTTTATCAAGTGAGTAATGCTGCATAGACTTAAAAATTAGACTTGATAATCTCAACCATTGAATAGGTAGTGGGTCCTAATAAATGCTGGGACTTACAGTGAAATCAATGGTTGAGATTATCAAGTCTAATTTTTAAGTCTACTTTTTAAGTCCATGTAGTATTGCTCTTATCAAGTGGGTCCACCAGCCCACTTCCAAAGATGTATAAATGAATTTATATATATCACAATTGAAATCTAATACGGCGGAAGACTCGTTAATATTTAGTAATTAACGTGATAGATGATCCAATGACAGTTGAGCTAAATTTAGTAAATGACTTTTTAATTTTTTCTATATATGACGGAAGACTCAAGAAAGAGGGGTCTCAACACTTCGGCTCTATACTTTACACACATACACATTATTAGACTCGCGTATTCGGGCATTGATCACAATTGGGTCCTTGTAATTACCCAAAACAACACCACAGCTTGGCCCCGAAGAGGGATTGTTCCTTCAGACATTTGATCGAGCATCGTAAAGCTGCCAAAGCTTCTGAACAACCACTCACTGCCACTAGATCACTCTCATTGAACTACAACGAGCCTCCTAATGCTTTAACTGCTTCGATGGAGGCCAGAAATATAATTCTGAAAGTAAATCGGGTGTTCAACCATCCAAAAGACATCAAGAGAGAAAACCGTTGGTATCGACATCAAAACCCAGAAGTGGGTTACGTGGTCGGACTTTCACTGGCGACTTTCATGGCGCTTGGGCACTCACTAATGTGCAGCCAAGAAGCTGCTCGCCTCGTTCAAGTGAACCCCAAGCTTTAGAGCTCACCTAAAGCTTCTTTCTCGCATAGAAACACATATTCAGTGACTCGGATAAAAACCAAAGGTTATTTAGCCAAAGGGGTATCGGACCGTCATACTTTTAACAATAATTCTCACCAACAAAGAATCGCTAAGGTCTCTCAGGTGGTCGGCATCACCCATGAACGAGAAAAGGGCAAAATTATCTGTTAAGCTCAAGCAGAGTCTCAGGAAGTGCTTGGCTTTACACCCATCAGCATAAAGGAAATACCGATTGAAGGAGAGAACTTTGCTTAGCTCTTTCCACTATTGATAAAGAAGTGTTCGATCCCTTCCGTAATGTTTTTCATGAAATATGGGAATCACACTCCCACCCACTGGACAAAGTTTTAAAATGACTCGGCAATGTAACGTCATCAAGGGGCAGGAACCTCTAGTCGAGCATAAACACGTCTTAAATATTCAAGATCCTTGACGACATCGGTCCGGGTTATAAGTACTCCTGCATTGACTAAATTTGGGATTAAATTTAGAGTTCAAATGACAGCTGATTTGAATTTTTTTATTTGGTATCTTATTATTTGAGTTCCAAATTTAATCTCAAAATTTAGTCAGTACTGTCAAGTTATTGAGTCCAAAAGGGAGGAAAGTCTTTATGTGCACTAGACACATGGTGGGCTCCGAGGCCTAAAAACGGGTAATGCTCTGTTTTGTACGATGAAAAAGTGGGAGGATGAAAAATTGAAAAGATGGAAAGTTGGAAGGATAAATAAAATATCATGTTTAGTAAGAAAAGAAAGTAGGAACGATGAAAAAGTGGATGAATTAACTTTTCTTCCAACTCACTAAAATCAATCCCTCCAAAATCAGAAGAAAAGTAGATAAAAAGTTAATTATTCGTGTTAAGATGTATCTTATTTGTCTATATATTTTTTTATATATACATATATTATGTATACATTAATTTCATATAAAAATACAATAATAAAATATGTGTATATATATATTTTAAAAAATAAAAAATTAAAAAAAAATATATTTTTTCTATCTTAATTAAGGGTGAAAATTTTTGACTCAATACGATGACACGACTCGAACTCGATACAAAAATAAACAGGTCAACTCGCAACTCAACATGACACAATTAGTTAAACGAGTTAAGTTAATTTGACTAATATTTGACACAAACCTGTAATGACTCAACACAAATTTGACACGATACGACTCAATTGTCATCCCTAATTTTAGCCATCACAAAAAAAAAATAGTCATTTTTATTTTTTATCCATCCAATTAAACACAAAAAAAAAAAATGTATCATTCCTACTTTTTATTATTGAAAGATAAAAAATATATATTTTCTCCCCCAAACGGGAGAATAGCATTACTGTCAAGTTATTGGGTCCAAAAGGGAGGAAAGTCTTTGTGTGCACAAGGCACGTGGTGGACTCCGGGCCCTAAAAAGGGGTTGGACAGGTTCACGAACCTATCACTGATGCTTAAACTTATTCCATTCCTTTACATGAAAAGTACTTGACCTTGCCTTTTCAAGACCAATATGACCGCCCTCCACCAACAAACCGAGCCTAAATAAATGAACTTGATCTTCCCCTATTTAAATTCTACAAAAAAATTCTCTGACATTGCGCTATAAATGATTACTAAGTAATAATTCATGCCTAAAAACATTATAAATATATAAAATAACAATATATGTTTTTCTATCATAAAACATGAGGGCAGCTGTCAATGTAAGTGAATATACTGATCGCATAGATGTAGCAACTTATGATTGTATAGGTAGCTGTTGATTTGGTTCGTCTAATCTAATGATTCTACCATTTGGTAGCAAATGGACAATGCCCGACTACAAATGCTACTGGATGGTGGTGAATCCAGACATGAAAGTAGCCGTTGTTTTGGGACTGCTAGCTGCAAGTAAATATGCACGGGTCTTTGGTTCAATTATATTTTTTGTCTTATAAAGACTTTGTCTTCTTAAAATTAAGGGATCAAGTCTCTCTACCTTAAAAAAAAAAAAATATGGGACAGACATTACTCTATGGACAGCCTTGGGAGGGGTAGGGGACCCATGCAAGACCCTCCTAAGGGAAGGAACAACTGCACTTCTTAACTCCTACAATAGTCTCCTGTTTCAATACCATCGTCTTGGTGTGATCGAACATTTGAATTTGGCCTTAATGGGTTCTACTCGACAAGTCCTATTGACAGTTCTGCGGTTTATATGGGTCAATTCTGATAATAGTAATGTCACCTGCAGATTCACTCCTTGCAAGTGATATATCCTTCGTCATTCTGTAATTTATATTTGTAATTGTCTGTGATTGTCTATTATACGAGACTCTTACCATTGACGAATGTTAACAAGGTGCTCAAAGATAGAGCAATAATAAGTGATGGAACATTTGTGGAAAAAGATAGATAGATGACACGTGTTCTCAATATCATTATGTTCTCAGCTAGGTATGGCCACGTGTCCTTGGTGACGCTCATCCCCATCTGCCGAGGTGATAATGCTTGGAGCCGAGGGATCCCCCGATCGGCATGATCAACACATATGACCTCGGCTTGGTAAAACCCTTTACCCCGATGTAGGCAAATATTCCTCGGTGCCGAGGAGTTCCTTCCACACGCTGGGTCTCACCTCTCCACTGCTTCTATAAAAGCTAATGATTGACAAATGACTAGCCTAGGCCAGATTAGGCTAGGCATCATAAGGACACTCTGCTCCATGGTGTCAGGAGGCGCAGGAATGCAGAACATACAACCAAGGAGGGGTAGACATGTTGAATTTAATATTAAATCAGTAGCAAGAAGACCTGGATACCCCTGCTGACACATGTCTAGAGCAAGAAAGCATTTAATGAATCCTCCTCCTGATGAGACAACAATTAAGGCATGGAGGCCGAGAAGTGAGGTGCATTAAAGACTCTCATACTTGGGCATTTAATGCATCCTCGTCGAGAAGGGAAAAATTAAATGCTCGGCAAACCGAGTTGGCTTTAAATACTCGACATTCCGATCAATTAAAGCTAAGCCCATTCCCCATAAAGGTGAGGGGCATACTGCCCTATCTCTGACAAATACCTGTTGGATGGATTATCAGCAATCATGAGTTTTTGAAGGTATAAATAGTTCTCAAAAACGCATTGCAAAGGTACGCAAAAACTTCTAAAAAGAACTACACAATATTTTCTTCTTTCCCTTTCTCAAAGAACTGAGTTGATCGTCGGAAGGGATACGCCGGAGAGCACTCTGGCACCCTTCTAACCTATTTTTCTGTGATACAGGATCTCCCCACAATCTTCTTGGACCGGTTAGACGACCCAACAAACAATTCATCACCAGTCCTTAGGGTCCCTTTGTCCCTCTTAACTTACTTCTTGTTGTCAAAACTCACATTCGATTGGGTAAAACCTCAGCCAGAGGTGATCCGAAACCCAGAAAGCAAACCTTCTATTCCGTCAGAATTTACTACCTTGACAAACCATAGTTCATCGTGGAAGAGATCTGTTCCTACTATTATTGTGCAGAAATTTGCACGCACAATTTGGCGTCATATGTGGAAAACGATTAATTTTTCCAAATAACAGTGACCATGGTGAATACTCGACAGAAAGGTAGGGGTCCTTAGCAGAAGAACCTCGATTTACAAGCTTTTTTCGGTTCCGAAACAAAGGACCAAGTTGATGGTGTCGATAGGAATATCTTCATTCAATCGAGGGGGAATACCCGCCAAACCAGTATGAGCATCAGATTAGGAGGATCCGCCCCATTGGCCTGTCAACTGACAGAAATGATAGAGGAGAAGCTTGGGGGTCGATTACGGCAGTTAGAAGCGGACAACGTGAATGTCCTCAGTCGTCTCAGCGAATTTGTGACTTCCGACGAAGGATCCAAGGACTCGTTCCGTTCACGGGATCCCTCCATCAAGGAAGTGGAAACAGAAGATTTGCGAAATCACCTCAACAATAAAGCAGAAAATTCAAATGCTCCAAAGCGTCCGAGAGCCAAAATGCATCCCCCAGGTGTCCAGGCCAAGAAGGCTAAGCCTTTAGTTTGGGACGACCTCCGTCGGGGACTGTCCGGGCAAGGGGGCGTGGAGGAGTCCGAGGGGTCAACAACCCTCTCCATTCGGCACCCAGGAAGGAGGTACCCCGTTAGCCCACACAGGGACCTTAGAGGGGTTCCCCTCGAGTTGGGAATTGACCCCAGAGCTCGGTTGAAGGCCAGGAGGAGTAAGACCATTCAGGAGGATGACGCCGATGACGAAACCATACAATCCCCCTTTACCAGGGACATTCGGGAGTTGGAGGTGCCAAAGAAGTTTATAGTGCCAAGGTTCAAAACTTATGACGGACGATCTGATCTTTAAAGCTTACCTCAGACAGTACAAGCAGATGATGTTCCTTTACCATTTAGATCATCGGCTCTTGTGCCGGGTGTTCTCCATCAATTTGAGAGACTCCCTTATGAAGTGGTTCGAAACTCTCCCTCCTAACAGCATTAGGTCATGGTAGGAGTTAACCAGGCAGTTCTCTGCCCAGTTTGTTATAGGAAGCAAGTGACCTAAGGATGTTGGGTCCTTACTAACACTCAGACGGAAGGAAGGGGAAACTCTCCGCCAATGTGCCACTCGTTATTGGGAGGAGATCAATGAGGTGGAGGGATGCTTAGAAGTCATGACACCCGCCTCGTTCAGGCTTGGCCTAACAAGAGACACAGATCTGTACCGGTCATTAACCAAGAAGACCCTATCAGACATGAGTGAATTAATGGCCCGGATAAATAAATATTCTCGAATCGAGGATGAGATGGGAGGGGGCAGAGGTAGGGCCCCCACCTCCAGGAAGAAAGACAAAGAGAAGGAGGACACCCCCCAGAAGGGATTGATACCTCCCTCTGGATGCTGCTTTAAAGGAGTCCACATCGTATTTAAAGAACTAATTTACAGACTGCTCCAGAAGATCTGGGGTGAGCCGTTCTTCAAATGGCCACCTAAAATGCAGAATGATCCGTCCACCTGGAATCAGAATGCCAGATCCTCCTATCATTGAGATTTTAGGCATCGTACCAAAGATTGTAGGGTGTATAAATATTTCCTGGAGAAGTTGGTCTAGGACGGGCATCTAAAGGAATACATTGAGCCAAAATCCGAAGAGGTTCAGGGCCCCAATAATTCGACTGCTATCCAGGACAACGTAATTGACGTGATCCACGTATGTCCACTAGAGCGTTCGACATCCAAAAACCTTGAGTCCGATCTCAAAAGAGTGGCCTTCACAAGGAAGGTAGCTGAAGAATATGGGGGCTAACCCAGTAAAAGGGCCCAGATTGGCGAGCCCAACATCACATTCTCTGACATGGATCTTGTAGGCATAGTCACCCCTCATAACGAAGCCTTGATTTTAACACTAAAGATTGACAACTTCAATGTTAAGAGAGTACTGGTGGACTCCGGGAGTTCTTTTGAAGTGATGTACTCTGAAACCTTGAAACGTATAGGACTTGGTCCTAAAGATCTCACCAAAGTTAGGACGCCCCTCATTGGATTTAACGGCTCATTCGCCCTGTCGATTGATAAAATCACATTGCTAGTCATCATTGGGCCTGTCACTATCAACACGGAGTTTGTTGTGATCGACACGGACTCGCTTTACAACGTTATCATGGGACAAGCCTGGTTGCACGCACTGGGAGCGGTACATTCCACTTATCACCAAAAGCTGAAGTTTCCAACCCTAGAAGGGGTGAGGGAGATCCGAGGGGACCAAACGTCTGCCAAGAATTGTTTCTACTCAGCTGTCAGAGTAGGGGTTTCCATTTAGGAGAAGGGACGGGCCCCAGAAGTGATCCTGGATAAATAAAAATCACAGTCCGAGCGTCCTGGAATAGACGACCCTCGGACGAATCTGGCAGAACGATCAGTGGAAAACCTTCTGAGGGTACTCTTAATAGAAGGAGAGGAGGGAAGGTACTTCCTGATGGTTCTGCCATGCCTTCACCCGAACAAGCTGAGATGATAGATTTTCTAAAACAAAATGTAGACGTATTTGCCTGGAACGCAATAGAAATAAAGGGGGTGGACCCCGAAGTGATAACTCATAAGCTTCATGTTGATCCGACACATAAGCCTGTTAAGCAGAAGCCACGGCACATGGCGCCGCATCACGCCCAGGCGGTGAATGAGGAAGTTGATAAACTCCTACAGGCCAACACCATCCGGGAGGTCCAGTTCCCAAAATAGTTGTCAAATACGGTCTGCGCAAAGAAAAAAGAGGAAAAATGGCGTGTCTGTGTGGACTTCATTGATCTGAACAAGGCCTGCCCTAAAGACGACTTCCCACTCCCGAAGGTGGATCAGCTAGTAGACGCCACCGCAAGGCATCAACGCATAGCCTTCCTGGACGCCAAGGCAGGCTATCATCAAATTCCCCTCCATCCACTTGATCAAGAGAAGACTGTCTTCATCACTTCGAGAGGGGTTTATTGCTACAAAGTCATGTCATTTGGGCTGAAAAAACGCCGAAGCTACCTACCAAAGACTTATGAATCGGATGTTCAAACGACAAATCAGTGACACCATGGAGGTCTACATCGACGACATGTTGGTCAAAAGTAGAATGAGTTGTGACCACTTGGCGGACCTGGCCAATACGTTCTCCACTCTCCGAGAATATGGGTTAAACCTGAACGCGGTGAAATGCAGTTTTGGAGTAAAGTCGGGAAAATTCCTCAGATACCTGGTAAGTCGACGTGGGGTCGAAGCCAACCCGAATTAGATTCGAGCTATCCTGGACATCCGGAGTTCCCGGACCGTACGCGAAGTCCAGAAGCTTGCGGGGATGTTGGCAGCACTCAATCGTTTCATCTCGCGATCCTCGGACAAATGCAAACCCTTCTTTAGAGTCATTAGGGGAGCAGGGAAAAACGCATGGAACTAGGAATGTGAGGACGCCCTCAGGGGAATTAAAGAGTACCTCAGGGTCCTCTCCACTCTGTCTGTCCCAACCCAAGGGGAGATGCTATTCCTATACCTAGCCGTGTCGGAATTCACCGTCAGCAGGGTACTCGTTTGTGACCATGAGCGACAGCAGAAACCAATGTATTATGTAAGCAAGGCGCTGCTAGACGCAAAGACAAGGTATCTACCCCTGGAGAAATTAGCTCTGTCATTGGTCACGACCACAAGGAAGCTGATGCATTACTTCCAGGCTCACCCAATCACTGTCCTTACAGACTAGCCTTTGAAGGCAATTTTGAAAAAAGCGGACCTCTCCGGGAGGGATGCTAAATGGGCAGTATTTCTAAAGATTAATGGTCTCAAGGGGAAGAGATTGGGTATTGTGAGGAATCCCTTTTTTACATTTGCCAATGAATCAGTCCTGCCTCAAATATTTAAGTACCACTTCGAAACATTAAGGTACATCAAACATTCCTCTCAAATCAATGCAAACTTTTCTGAATCTTATTCCGTTAATATTTTTCCCTCTTACGTTACTTCAATCTCTGAGACCCTACAGTGGCACGAGTCTCGCATATGAGATCCCCCCCACCCTCCCCCTCTTTTTCTCTTGCATAAGATACTTCAATCTGATATCTTATATAATGCTATAATCTTAAACAACAGGAAAAGAGGAGCAGTTTTAGTAGACAATTTGGAAATAGCCAACATTGATGTCATCATGAACTCCTATATGAGTGGTGAAACAACAGCAATGTTGGCTGAATTTAAATTGTCCTTAAATGCTTACCTCAAAGAGCTCGTGGATTCCCCTGTTCGATCTTTGGCAGACATAATAGCTTTTCAACACAAAATTCTCTAATTTGGTAAGTATATCTACAAAGATTCGTTCATTCTGTGAAGAGTTATCACATTATTCTTTTGATCTCTCAATGTCTGGAGTTGGCACGACTAAAATCACACACTGGATGGTACTGTGAACTTGTTTGGATGCACTCATGCGCAGGAGATGATTAAGGAATTTGGACAAGACATTTTTCTGGCAGCTGAAGCCACGGATGGGATCGGTGATGCAGAAAAGAAAGCTTTGCTCAAATTGGCAATACTAACACAAGCTGGGTTCGTGAAGTTGATGGTGGAGAATAAGCTGGATGCATTGGTGACTGCTGGCTCTGATGTTGCTCCTGTGCTTGCAATCGGGGGGTTTCCGGGAATTAGTGTCCCTGCTGCATACGATATCAATAGCAAGGGGGTTCCTGTTGGTCTCTGTTTTGGTGGATTGAAGGGTTCTGAGCCTAAACTAATTGAAATTGCATACAGTTTTGAGCAGGCAACTAAGTCTAGGAAGCCTCCTACATTTCAACCTTGAACCTACACTATTTTTTCCTGCAAATTTTTATGTTACACAATCTTAATTGGTCTAGAAAAGTTCTAATGACTGTAACACAACGATTAATACGTGAAAAAAGGTCGAAAAAGGAGAACACACAAATATCCTGTAGTTATCTAAAGATGCTAAAACTTTTCTTGTCTTATTTTTTAAAACCAGTTTACTGGGAAAAGAAACTTCAAAGTCTTTTTTTACTAATAATATAACACGTACCTTTACAAACTGCTTAAAAACATAACATTTCAAATCATGAAATGGCAAGTGCATGGTCACCAATGTCTTCTCTTTGCCAGTGTATAGAATGTTTGCTGGTAGCTTGCCTTCTCAGAAGCACTAATTAGAAAACTGAATAAAATTCACAAGTTTTAAGGTTTAATAGCAGAATGATGGTCATTAGACTCATCACTAACTTCACCCAAATTAGTTAATCTTATCCAACAGGTCGGATGGACAAACAAATTTTCTTTTTGGGGTGTTAAGCCGTCGAAGCATTCTTGAGGTGTCATATTTTGGCGAGCTTACCTCGAGCCCCTATGTCTAGAAAGAAAAGTTCACATGCCAGTTCCTGTTCTGCGGCACGGTGGCAGGACTGCTAGGGCATTGGCTCCCGATGTAAATAATTTGTAGGGTTATGCAAATAACATGACAAAAGCAAAGTATGTTTGATAAGGCGTTAGTTCGGTCTCTCTATCATGCGGAATCCATATTCCCTACAAATGAAAGACCCCAGGCCTGCGAATATTTGCATAAAAATCCATATAGAAGTCACCAGCATAAAGGCGGCAGAGGGGTGCACTGGGTCATACAACACTCCGCAAACTTCAAGGTTTGAGCTTTTGACTTATTCTTTGTTTCGTGTTTGAGTCACATAAATAATTTTCTAAATATTTAATGTAAGATTGATTATTTTTAAATTTTTTGAAATCGAAATGACAAAAATGTTGTACATTTGTTGTGTTGGACCGGCTACTTTATATTCAACCAGAGCATGTGGCTCTCCACCATTCTATCTGCATCAATCCAAAGCTTAATTAAGCAAAGCCATGAATATTTACACCTCACTGTTCCTGATTCTTGCAGCCTTATCACTATCTGAGTGGTCACTCGCCTTCAAGAGCCATGAACTCTCAATCAGAGAAGCCACTGTGCAGGACCTCCAAAAAGCCTTCAAGCAAAACCAGCTCACATCAAGGCAACTAGTTGAGTTCTACATTAAAGAAATCAATAAACTTAACCCGGTTCTGAAAGGGATCATAGAGGTGAACCCCGATGCTTTATGCCAAGCAGAGCAAGCTGACCAGGAGAGAGAGGTCAAGTCACCTAGGTCACTGTCTGGGTTACATGGTATTCCTATCCTCCTTAAGGATAATATTGCAACCAAGGATAAGCTTAACACGACTTCCGGATCGTTGGCGTTGTTAGGATCAGTGGTACCCCGGGATGCCGGTGTGGTGATGAAGTTGAGGAATGCAGGAGCCATTATATTGGGAAGGCTAGCTTGAGTGAGTGGGCTAATTTTCGGACATTGACTGCACCTAATGGATGGAGTGCTAGAGGAGGACAAGGAAAGGTGAGTAATAGACTCTTGCTGTTTTGATTTCTGAATTTCCATTGAACCACATTAGATCACACACGGTATGTTTGAATTATGTAAGGGAAATAAATAAGTAAATCCCATTCAATCTTTTTTGCTGGAAAGTCTCGTGAGCTGGGCTATCTTTTAACATAAAAACACGAGGGGTGAAAGTGCCGGCAATGGTTGGTCATCAGTACATGAGAAATGAAGTTTTTTATGGTCTGAATAATATGTTTTCTTTTAATTAAATCAAAAAGTCCTACCCAAAAGTCATTGACATATAATCAGGGCATTATCTTGATGCAATGGAAAATATGCCTAAAGAGAGATATCTTCTTGGCTTATTGGCATTGATTTTTTTGTGACTTCTTGGCTTTCAAGAAATAAGAATTCACTAATAGATGTCTTCTGCAATGATTTGCAGAATCCATATGTTCTATCGGCGGATCCTTGTGGCTCAAGTAGTGGATCAGCAATAGCAGTGGCAGCAAACTTGGTGGCAGTGTCACTGGGGACTGAAACGGGTGGTTCCATCATATGCCCAGCCAGTTTTAATGCAGTCGTGGGCATTAAACCAACCGTTGGCCTCACTAGCCGAGCAGGGGTCATCCCAATTTCTCCAAGACAGGACACCATAGGGTAGGTGGTCTCATGTGCTTAAAATTCTCCATCTGATTGTTATGCAGATAATGAAAACAAACTGGACATGAATGTTTGAATCAGTTGGAATGTTAATAGTAGTCGTAGGATCTCCAAAATGTGTGTTGAACAAACATGATACGGGCTGAGAATGGAGAGTTGCAGAGAGTCAGCCAAGATTGGGATGGGTGTCAACTAAGGTTTTTTTCTCATTGATTACATGATGATATGATGGCAATCTTTGACATTAACTTTCTTTCATACTTGGTTGAGCAGACCCATATGCAGGACTGTATCAGATGCTGTTCATGTTCTTGATGCCATTGTAGGCTTCGACCTCAATGACGCTGAAGCAACTGGAGAAGCATCAAGTGCATCCCCCATGGTGGCTACACCCAATTTCTAAAGACTGATGGTCTCAAGGGAAGAGATTGGGTATTGTGAGGAATCTGTTTTTTACATTTGCCAATGAATCACTCCTGCCTCAAACATTTGAGTACCACTTCCAAACATTTAGGTACTTCAAGCACCCCCCTCAAATCAATGCACATGATAGCTCAAGCTTTTCTGAATCTCATTCCGTTAATATTTTCCCTCATATGTTAGTTCAATCTCTCAGACCCTATAGTGGCACAAGTCTCGCGTATGGGCTGCCCCCCCCCCCCCCCCCCTCCTTTTCTCTTGCTGTCTTGCATACGATACTTCAATCTGATATCTTATATAATGCCATAATCTTAAAAACAGGCAAAAGGAGCAGTTTTAGTAGACAGTTTGGAAATAGCCAACATTGATGTCATCATGAACTTCAATCTGAGTGGTGAAGCAACAGCATTGTTGGCTGAATTTAAGTTGTCCTTAAATGCATACCTCAAAGAGCTCGTGGATTCCCCTGTTCGCTCTTTGGCAGATATAATAGCTTTCAACCAAAAATTCTCTGATTTGGTAAGTATATTTACAAAGATTCATTCATTAATTCCACTCTGAATAACTTTTTCTACCATACTATTCTTTTGATCTCTAACTGTCTA